ACAACAAAATACTACCTACAAAGGACATGGTCAGAAAAATGAAGTTTTTAGCTTTTTAAACACTTAAATTCATACCCCCATGCGATCTCATTCTAGGGCTAAATCGCTTGCCGGCGCTCTGCTACAGCTCATGCATAAACTAACACTTATCGCACGTCTACAATGTCTGAAATTTTCTACTACCCTTGGGTGTTGATGTGGGCCCTAAAAAATTTGGAACATAACTGGATTGGTCTGGATGTTGGGGCCCAATATGAAATGCTTCCATGAGGTCCTATAGAATGCCCCTGCCACTGAAAACTGTAGGTAGCAATTTCTGACAGCATAAAACTGTTTAAAAATTGCTGCCCTTATTTAAAGTAGTTACTTTGATTGCATAAATCCTTAGGATATTTTGGCGAAGTAGCAAAAACCGACAGACATAACTGAAGATTTCTGCTACAGCAGCAAATTCTTGCAAGGCAGCAAAAAATAGCAGAACTGGCAGAGATTAATGGAATGACATTACATCTTTTGTTATCCTGTGGAAAACAAAAGATCGATCTGAGGGCCAGATTTAATAATCAATAATACAGATGTTGCAGGCCAGTACTTTGAGACCTCTTGTAAGATTTCTTCTTTCTAGGGAGTTTATCCTTGCCACTGTCACCTCTGGCTTGCTCACTGGGGGCTTTGGGCAGGGATAATGTAAAGCGCTTTGAGACAATGTAATGTGAAAATGCACTATACAAATAAAATTGAATTGAAATAGTGGTGAAGGAGCCGATTAAACCTCTCGTCCTTCACTATGAAAAATGGCTGATTGTCCAGTGTAACTGCATCCTTTATTTCAGCTGTTGTGTCTTTAGCACTGGCGCGCTAACTTTAAATAGTGATAAACTTTAAATATCTGTTCAGCTTGACATATCGGACTGATACTAGTATCTTGATTCTTAACGAATATCAAACTTGAACATCAATTGTTAGCAATATGTTAACTGACATATCCATCTCTGCATATTGTTTCATCCTCATAAAGAAATTGTGCAATGCATAACAATAATAATAATAACAACATATTGCTCAAGAATCGTGAGAGAAAATACAATTCATATTTTACCCAGAATTGTGCAGCCTGGTTACCTGTGAGTTTTGTGACTAGCTGTGTTGTATACAGCCATGATGAACGTGCTGTAGCCTGCCAGTTTTATCATGAACTGTGCACTCAGTCTTACTTTTCATGGCAGGTTTCTCAATGGTTTTGTTTTTACTCGCTTTTTTTACTCTTTAGTACCAGCGACAGTCATCATCACAGAATAAGCCGTCTGTCTGAGAGGCCGCGTTCCCACATCTTTATTACCGCTGGTGAGGCTCCTCCTGTGGTAATAGGAGGACACAAGGAGTGCAGTGTGTCTGTGTGCCAAAGCATGGGGTAAAACTGTCAATTTTTCCCAGAATTACAGGGCGCCGGGCTGTAAATACAGCTGTCAGTCTGCATGTCACTGCAGTCTGGTTTTCAAATGACTGTCACAATATAATTGCGTGGCAGGATCTGGCATCAGTAAGCCTAGATTTGAGAGGAGTAATGCGGTTTGGCCCAGTAATTCCCAAGAAGGCTGTGCCACTGATATGAGGTATTCCCCCATTCCTGGAAAGATTCTCTTGTCCTCATAGTCGTACACAGGTAGTCAAGCAGGCGTTTTAGGGTGCAACTTTAGTAATAAACCATGGTTGAATCTGTCATTTATGGTTGTCCATGGTGATGTGGAGATGGATGGATGGATTTGTGGTTATCAGGAACTTGGTAACCATAGCAACACTAAGTTTCAGTAAATACCTTTATTCATCATTGGATGATTGAAGACTACAATGATAGCCTTGAGTGCGGTTTGTCGGGTGTATCCCTGCATCGTACCCTGTGCTGCCTCACTGTGACTATCCTGGATGGCTTAATGCTGAACTTCAGTTTTCAGTTTCAAAAGTGTTTCTTTGTATATGAAAGCATGAATAGTCGCTTGTTAATTACTTTGAGATGCCTGTTGAGTTTTTAAGCCAGTTGGGAAATTGTCGGCAGTGAGAAACTCACATATGAAGCCTTCCTTGGTAGCAGAATTCACTTGCTTTTGTGAGCAATAAACCACATTGCTGTCTCCCTGATTTTGCAGCTGTTATTTTCCTGGCAGGTCAGCACTTAAATAGAAAGCATCTGTCAAAACAATGTTTTTTTTTTTTTTTTTAAATTAATTAAATCTTGGTGCGGTGCACATTATTCTTCTGTTCACATAGTGTGTGATGAATTCCTGTCCCCATGATATACAGCCACGTGGGGATTCAGCAGGTGATTCTCTGCTAATTACCCATGTGATAGATTGTGTTTCCCATTATCTGTACGAATGTGCCAACTGTGTGTCCCCAGGCCAGGTGGTGGTTAAAGTGGGGAACCAGTTTAAAGTGACCTGTTTGACTGTGCAGCCCAGTGACCCCAATATTTTCCTGTGTGGAGGCTTCAGCCCAGAAGTCAAGGCTTGGGACATCAGGACCTGCAAGGTCAGTCGCTCCATTTGCCATCATGTTTCTGTTTCTGGTTATTGTTTGACTTGGAGTACCTCTGTCTTGCTGCTAGGGGGCGTGGAGGTTTAGTTATGCCTCACAGCACACACTGGGAATCACCACTCTTCTGACCTTGATGTGATTATGGTGGAGGTGACCACCTTGCATTTGATTGCAGGGTATAGTCTGATTATATACCTTGCATTTGACAAATAAAACCCTTGAATCCTCCGTCAATAACTTTTGACCTTAAAATTGTGATTTTAAGCAGAGCATAAGTACCAACTTAGAAACAAAATAGTTTAGTCAGATGCTTAATAATTAAAAATATCCTGCTTTTGACCATTTGAATACGGATTTAATTTACTCTAGCAGGAGGTGTAAAAAGTGTAAAAAGGAGGGATTGAGAGAGACTGAGCATCAGTGTGTTCTGTCACTCCAGGTGGTTAGAAGCTACCAGGCTGGGATCCAGCAGACTCTGGACATCTTGTTCCTGCCAGGGGGAAAAGAGTTTGTGACAAGCAGCGACTCCGTCAGCCGGGACTCAGCCGATCGCACTCTCATCGCGTGGGATTTCCAGACCACCGCCAAGGTCTCCAATCAGATCTTCCATGTAAGCAGGTGGCACGGTTTCATATGCTGATTGTCGTAGAGCTGAAGCCCGTCACCCTTCATTGTCATTATGTTCTCACTAAACTAAGGGCTCATATTTGACTGTGAAGTACAGTGTGGGTCAACAGCATTAACAGGAAATGGGTGTTGTCCTTGTCTTAATGCAGTTTATGGTGGAAACCCTTTTCCTTCTGTTGTCCCCTAATGCATCTAGGAGCGCTACACCTGCCCCAGTATGGCTCTTCACCCCCAGGGAGATGAGTTTGTAGCGCAGACCAATGGCAACTACATGGCACTGTTTTCGGCTCGAAGGCCATACAGAATGAACAAGAGGAAGCGCTATGAAGGACACAGGGTGGGTCTTGTGCAGGGCCATGCCGGGCCGTTTGTTAAAACCGGTGCTCGTCAAATGTGAAATTTGAAAAAGCTCTTTTGCAACAGTGTTCCATATCAATCAAAGCTGGCATTAAGGGGGTGCTTTAGATTATTTCTGACTGCTGTGTTTTATGCATATGCTGAATAATGCAACCTGGAAAGGAATTGAAAACCCCAAAATCCTCTGATTTCTCTTAAATACTGACCTTCTATACAAAACATACAGTATTATGACGTTTATTTAAATATAAATTTCTTACTTGATTACATTGAACTTGTACAGTAAACGTTATCTTCCAATGTCCTGCAGCTAACTTCTCCCTGTCCTAGGTGGAGGGCTATGCTGTGGGCTGTGAGTTCTCAGCTGATGGGACGGTGCTGCTGTCAGGCAGCTCCAGTGGGTCACTCCACTTCTATGACCAGCAGAGCTCCCGGCAGCTGCGGCTCCTACATGCGCACCAGCAGGCCTGTGTGTGCGCCAGCATGCACCCTGTCCTGCCCGCCGTCATGGCCTCCTGTGACTGGGGCGGGGAGCTCTGTATCTGGCACTGACGGGCGTGGTGGGGGTGGGGCTGGGGGGGATACACAAGACCTGCTGGGCCGCAGAACCAGGTACCTTCTTGCACAATTACCATAATGACCATGGACACTTAAATGTATGTACATGCCATTAACTCAAAGCACGTTTCAGAAACCAGCTTCGCTTCACACGTTCCCCCCCTGGCAACTCCCAAGACGGCCTTGCACCACTCTGGGTATCTGAAAGTCAGCCAGCCAGCCTCGCCATTCCTTCCATGGGGCCGGCTGCCGACATTCTGGGGAATATGGCCCTCCCAGTAAGTGAGAGAGAACACGCCCCCCGTGTCAAAACCATTCTTGTTTATAATGATGTGCATTGAAGGCTAAGAAGCCATAGATTCCTGGGGCAAACCTCCTACCCTCAGATTTGTTGAGGTTAGTTAGCTCTAATGGTGATTGTCCATTGTTTGTAATACAACTGACGCAAAATGTTTTTTGGAGAGCAAATAATCAAATGGGAAAATGAAGAGAGGTTTGGGCAATGTCCTCTGACCTGTGACCTTAATTGGATCATTGTATGATACCAGGAAAAAAAAGGCAAGAATAACTGTATTTACCAAGTTACTGATATATTAAATTTAAAAAAGTTACATTAATTAAGTCAAATTTTCAGCAATGCAATAGCTTTAAAAAAACCTATACATGCAGCCAGCAACTTCTGTATTCAGAAGTTTAACCAATGTGCATCAGGAGTTGTACATTTTGGCACAGATTGAATAGTTGTGCATTCCCTTAACACGTGAAAGACACTTTACAGTATATGGAGCATGACAAGCAGAACTATGTTAAAAGGTAACTTTCGAAGGACTTTTTCAAAAATTGTCTTAGCCCAGTGCTCTAACATATAAAAGTAGTCAAGGCACGTTACAAAGATCAAAGCAAGCTTTGTTAATTAACATTTCAAAGGGTAAATTGTGATGCCTTTGTAAGTTTATCAAAAATAATGAATATGCAGGCATATCTGCCATATGCAGACACTGACCTAATTGTGGAACAAATCAACTGGCTCTCCTTTTTATTTATTTTTTTTAGGCTTGACTCACCATAGAATCGTCAACTTCAGTTACATGCTGAGCTGACAAGTAAGACAAGGAAATGGCTGGAATGCAAAGACCAGAGAGAACATTCTGCTTTCTGTCCTTGTATGATTAGCGCAAGGAAGGTTGAATGTAGCAAATCGGGAAGTAATTCCCTCCTTCATCACTTGGACTGCATGTGAAAAACTGAGGAGGCTTCAAGGTTGATGTGGCACCAGAGTCATGGGGGAGGATGTCTGGTGTTATTTCAAGAAATGTAACATGCCCCCCCCCCAAGTTCAGCTGTACTCCATACTATATTTACAGATACAGGGAACATAACAAAGATACTTTTGACACCACTGCAACTCTGGTATTACAGATTTTACTTAACATTTAACTTCTAAGCATGTCAACTATCTGCTCAAATGCTGTAATGACAAACTAAAGTCACTAAAACCTAAGTGTATTTAAGCTCTAGAGTGTCTGTCATTGTTCTTTATCAATTAAATATACAACTGACCTATAGAAACATGCATTGTAATGGTAGTACAAACAGCTGACCTCTAGTCCCATGGAAAATTCTGAATGGATTCTGAGGTAGAAAAGGACAGAATATAATTTTAAAGGTTAAATTAAAGAACATTGTAGCAATAGAATTAAAATTGAGTTGATTATTTAATATCTACAACACAAATCTGACAAACATGTTACCTCTCCATTTTCAGGCTTTCCTTGGTTGTTGACGGTATTTTTTTTTCTAACTGGACAGAACAGACCCCTTGAGGAGCTACAGAAATCTGGTGCTGTCCATTGTCCTGATGACGTCGGTCGCGTTAGCAGCTGACCAGTCCAGTCACCCGCAAGGCAGCAGTATGAGATCAGGACATTAGAAACGTGGCCTGTCTGGAGAACTGTAAGGGCGATCTAGGTGTCATGGAAAAGGCATTGCAGGAGTAAACAACACAGTGAAAGGAACTGTCAGAGCAAGTACCTAATTTTGGTAGGATTACTGCATGTACCCCCCCCACCCCCGCCATAAATGTGCCTCACAGAATAGGAGGACCTTGGCCAGTCTAAAAACACACCTCTAACCAGGACAGTAATCATATATTTACACCACTGTCAGATGGAGCAAAACTAGCTACTCCAGCTAATGAAAATTAAGGCAAAATGTACCAGGGAGTTTGTGGAGTGAGTCAACTAAGCCAAGATAAAGCCCCTTAACTAGCTAATCCCCTACTAATTAATACACCAGGCCAATGTGGGGTTCCCCTCCCTCCAGGTGATGCCACACAAAGGAGCTGCTCCGTGTTTGACGGAATTCAGCTAAGGCTGGTTACAGCAGCATCAGCTGCCGTGTTGCCTCACTCCTAAGAATGATTTATCAAGGCATCTTTCGAGTTCCCATAAGTGTGCTGCTCAGATGGGAGCTTACATACGCATACCGAACAGTGTGGCGGGCCTCTCCATCCAGGTCCCTGTCTGGTCGTTTGAGGGGCATGAGGAAACAGTAACACATCCCTACCATACATTTCAACATATAAGTCATGCACACATACTAATAAATTAACAGTCATTTTCAAAGCTGCCTTGTATCTTGTGTTTGCCAGCTGTGTCCTTTCCTATTGTCCTGTCTAGTTTGGCTAATGTCATTGTAACTGTTATTGCTTTATACAATTACTTCACCTAATAAAAGGACAAAATGTGTGAAATCTGAACGACCAAAGTGAGAGACTGACAGCTACTCACAGTTGTTTTGTCAACAAAAACCCACTCTGGCATTAAACCTTAAGTGTACCATGTGTTATCTGCTTCATATATTTACATATCACTAATGAATAATATTAAAAATATCTGCCAAGTCTCAATCACTCTGTGCATCTGAACCAATGTCCTTTAAAAATAAATACATATCATGCCATAAATCTAAAAACCTGCCTGTGTTGCCTGTCTGAACACTACCTGTACTGGCCCACAGAACCATGTCTTGTCCTAGCAGCTCCTGGATTAAAGGGTGACCAAGTGCCAGCTTATGCCATCGACCTCTGCTCTTCAGTTCAGTAATGTACCATAAAGCTGTGCCTTGGTGAGACTGTCCTTCCTGCAGAGTCCTGTGCTTGCAAATTTTTGGTACTGTGGGGATGCTGACCGCTGCAGGCTGGGGCTTTGCCGGTCCATCTGGTAGTGCTGCAGGTCCGAAGGCTCTGGAGGACTTCGATGCAGGGACTCTGCAGAGCTGTTGGGACTCACATCCACATACTCCTTCTTCATGCTCCCGGCTGTGCTGTCCTTGTCTTTGGAGCTTCCTGAGTGGAAGAGGCTGCGCTCTGACTCTTGGCTGTCGTCCTTGGCCCGATACATGGGCGGCTTGTCTGGCTTCCTTGAGCCGTGGATGTGCTCAGGGCTGGGACTGGGACTGGGTGAGGCTACAAAACAACGGCCCAGGATACGGCTGTGGTAGGCATCGTCCCCCTCCTGAAAGCTGCTGTACAGTGGGCCCAGTTTGATCTTGCTGGGGCCCACAACAAAGTGCTGCTCAGAGAAGCTATATGGCGAGATGCGGCCTGGGTTGCGATAGGAATATGCATTTAGGTCCTCTACGCTCAGCTGCCTCCATCGCCCGCTGAGCTCCTCCTCTGGGACATGGATTCTGCCGTGGCTGTCTCGGTAGAGCTGGGCGGAAGATCCCATGCTGTGTGAGGTCGGCAGGCGGGTCGAGTGGTAGGGCTCGCTGAAGCACGCGGACGCAGTACGAACGTAGCCAGGTGAGCTGTCGTCCTGCGGCCCGTGGGCCATGTGCTGGAAGCTGTGTGACTTGGGAAACCCGGGGCTCTCCTTCTCGTAGGAAGAGGTGCTCTTATGCTCATAGTCACCATCACGCCAGTCCATGTAGAGGGCCTGCTGCGACAAGGAAAGCGTGCTGCTGAGGGCATGGCCTTTCTCATCAGACGCTGCGCTGAAGCTGGAGTAGGAGCTGGAGGCCTGCAGCGATCCTGTGGCGAACTCCGCGAAGGACGCCTCGTGGCGCGAAAACCCGGAGTGGAAGGCTTCCTCCTCAGGGTTGCTGTCGGTAGAGTTTTGGGCTTGGAAGAGGCTAGTCTCTTGCCCATGAAGGTCAACACTCTGCCGGCGCTCCCGTCTGCGCTCTTCTGGGCAGTAGAGGGCTGTGTCACTGCAGTACAGGTCTGAGGACTTGTACGCCAGACGTCGCTGAAGGCGTTCGCTGCTCCCCATGCTATTGGGCAGGAAGTCTGGGCCCTGGTGCTGAGGACTTGGGGATTGAGAGCCTGGGCAGCTGGTGCCCGGTTCTGGTTTCTCCAGTACCTTGGCAATGACCGCCGTGGGCACAGAGTCTGTGTAAGGAGAGTGACGCAGAGCCAAGGTCACCCCACAGCCGTGCTTCTCCATGTGCATGCTGACCCGCTCCTGAAATTCAGATGGCAGCTGTATGGGACAGGAGACAGCAAGGAGCAGAATAAGGGACAAGTCACATTTAACCTGACATGCCAGCACGAATATTTCTACAGCAAGACTGAAATATATGACACTGATGCTCACAGCGGTACGTGTGCTGTTTCTGATGGAAGTATGTCCTAGGAAAAAGGTCACTCTCTGGTTAGGATTCTGTGTCTGGTGCTGGTTCAAGTCCTGTGGTTGTGGTAATCTTTTTTGATAAAAACGTCCACTTAAATAAATGTAATGCAATGTACATTTATTCAATCACCATCCAACGTAAGGGCCAAGAGACCCGAAGGTAGGATTTTTGACATCATGCCCATTCCACACACAGCTGTGTTTTTCTTTCTTTTAACATTCTACAGGTATTAGTACTGAAGGAGGCAAGGTTGGCTGAGCACTCCCCATTTTAACTTCAGTAGCTCTGCAGAAAGTGGGGATATGAGGATGGTGTGACCTCATTAGGTTATGGATCCATGTCTAGACTAGAAGGTTGTGGGTTCAAATATCATGGCTGACGGTCCTTACAGGGGTTAGACAATGAAACTGAAACACTCGCCAATAGTGTTTGAGGTTTCACGCCTATATATGTGTGGCTTGGTGGCCAATTTTCACTCAGTAAAAGCACAGTGTGAAGGCTGAATTAGCAGAGCAATCCACAAAAATAATTGGAAACATATCAGAGTTCAAAAGAGGACAAATTGATGGTCTGTGTCTCACTGGGCATCTGTGACCAGGACAGCAAGTCTTGGTGGTGTATCAAGAGCCACAGTATCCAGGGTAATGTCGGTATATCACCACAAAGGAGGGACCACATCCAACAGGAGTAACTGGGCGCAAGCGGAATCTGTCTGAAAGGAATGTCTCAGTACTTACCCAGAGTGTATCCCAAAAACATAAAACCACAGCTGCCAAACACACTACAGAATTAAATGCACCTCAACTCTCCTGTTTCCACCAACACTTCGTCGGGGGCTGCACAGGGTCAATATTCATGGTCAGGCTGCAACAGCCAAACCTTTGGACACTTGTGCCAATGCCAAATAGTTTGGTTTCAATGGTGCCTCCAGTGCAAATCTTGGGCTGTGGATAGTGTGAAACATGTATTGTTCTCTATTGTCCACCTGACTTTTTCCATATCTGGGAGAGTTACGGTGTGGAAAAGCCCCAAAGAGTCTTACTACCTGGACTGCTGGGTGGATCAGTGATGGTTTGGACTGCAATATCATGGCCCACTACATGTTCTAGATGGGAACGTCACTGCCAAGGACTACCGAACCATTCTGCAAGACTATGTTCACCGAGTGGTTCAAACATTGTATCATGAAGGTGGTGCCATATATAAGGATGGTATTGCACCAATACACACAGCAAGACTGGTAACTGGTTTGAAGAACATGAAAGTAAAGTTGAACATCTCCCATGGCCTGCACAGTCACCAGATCTGAATATTAATGAGCCATTTTGGGGTGTTTTGGAGTAGCAAATCAGGAAATGTTTTCCACCACTAATATCGCATCATGCAGTGACCTGGCCACTGTTCTGCAAGAGGAATGGTTTAAAATCCCTCTGACCGATATGCAGGACTTGTATCTGTCATTCCCAAGATGAACTGATGCTATATGTTGCTACAAAAGGAGACCCTATACCATATTAATAAATTATTGTGGTCTGAAACTAGGTATTTCAGTTTCGTTGTCCAACCCCTGTATATTACCGTTGGGCCCTTGACCAAGGCCTTTAACCCCAGTTGCTCCAGGCGCACTGGCTGACACTGCATGCTCTCTGATCCTCACTTGTACATTGAATTGGACTAAAGCATCTGCTAAATAACTGTAATAATGTATCCTAAGCTTCTAAAGAGTTGGTGAGATTTACGCCATATGAGAGGTAATCAAGAACCACACACATTGTATATGCAAGCAACACCATGCATTCCAGTGTAACACCTGTAAGCATGATTTGTATTTGAATCATCTCTTTTAGATGGGGCTGTGTGGTAGTGTGGACCTCTGTAGGGCAGGTCCCTCCCAGAGAAGTGCTGCTCGTTTGGGCATTTCTTGGTATAACACAGCCACACATTAGGAGCAACAAACCACACATATATATCATCTGAACACACTGGCAGAGAAACTGCCAATACATTTTTCTGTAAATGCAGACTCCTTTCCTTAACTGACTCCCATTAATAAGCCATTTAAAAGTTCTGTTTATAAACAGATGGCCTTGAATACTTCATTCATGATCCTGCTCTTGTAAGGCTCATTATCAACCCCATAAAAGTGATGACAACAAATGGCAGGGATGGTCGAGGGACTCACTGCTGCCATCTGCTCACGCAACAAGAAACAATACGAGAGGAGCTGTTGCTGCTGGCCACCTGAAGCTCAGCAGAATATCTGTGACGTGGGAATCTCCCAGAATACCGTGCTGCGCATGCTGTAGTCCGGGCACTGCCTGCGATGGAGGCAGGGGATTCCAGTTTGTGGATTATTCTGGAAGTCCCCCTCTACCTTCAGGCATACCCTCTCGAACCTCCAGTGAGCCCTACCTCAGCTGAGGACAGCTCTTCATCAGCAGCCATTTGTCAGGCAGAAGTATTATGCTGTCAGCACGCTGGCAATGAGTGTGCAGCTCCGGGCTCAAGGGAAGGTTTTATATGGACAAATAAATGTGCTCTGTAAGAGCCGGGCTGCCCGCTCCGCAGCGCATCTGTAAAAATATGCGTGCATAACGTGACGGGGATGCGACAGAAATGGCCGGGCTCCTGTCTTCATGTCGCAAACTCATCACACATTTGTACTGCCCCCCTGGCTGGAGAGCTGACAGCTTGAATGATCCAAACCACAAAGACTGAGAAGGAAAGAAAGTCACATAAATCAAGCCAAACACATGAATTGTCAGGGCAATATAAAGGCCAGATGCTATAATGGCATTTTCCAGTTCTCATGTATTGTGAATTTCTGGCATCCAGAAAACAGCCACAATCGCAGAACCTCAGACCAGAAGCTGATTAAAGAATAGCTTTACCACGCTTCTCGATTTCTGGGAAAGATACCCTCTGGAGCCCTGAAGCACCTCATTGCTTTGTTGTTGTTCACGGCACTAAAATGCAGACAGACATGAAGGTGAAGGAACCCAGCTGCATCTGACAGAGGCATTCGAAATGCGGCTCACCTCCGACAGCTTGTGGGCTCTGTAGTGGGAATTGGAGCAGCGGAGGAGCTGGGCAGCCAGGTTGCAGTCCTTCCTGTACAGGTCCTGTGGGAGTGAGAAGGTTCCGCAGCTTCAAAGGAGCAATTCCGGCCAGAGACAGCATGACTAGGTTGTCCTGTACACAAAAGATGACTGGCTTCTTTGGCAAGCGTGCTCATCTTAGAGGCATGCTAGCTATTTTACCGTGATAAGATATTAATATATTCTCTGAAGGTGAACAGAAAAGAACAGATATCACAAACACCGCATTAAAATGAGTCGACGTCATCTATCATGGCCCGTCCTTAAACTGTCAGGCTAACTTTACTGTCACCAACATTAAATTTTACTCGTCCTCTATTACACCTTTACCAAAATGGTTGCCCCTGATACTTTTTATTCATCCCCGAGGGGAAATTATCTTTACACCTCCCCCAACTTGCTCTCCGCAGGTGGGAGCAAGCTGGTCACAAAGCGCAGCCACCCATAGCAGCGCCGAGAGAGCTGGGGGTTAAGGGCCTTGCTCAAGGACCCACAGCTGTGCTGAGGCCGGGCTCAAACCGGCGCCTTTCCGATCACAGGCACAGGGCCACTGAACCACAACACTGCCCATAACCCAGCCAAGCATTCTCCACCACTATGTGTTACCACTGCAAATGAGTTGCAGTTATGAAAGATGGTTCTGATACTACTGGCATGCAGCATGGAATCCAATACATCATCAGCAGTAAAGGAGTTCGCTCCTTTTGCTCCCAAATGCACCATTACCAACTGTAATGGTTTGTAAAAAAAAATTTTGTTACAAGGGACATTTTGTTTTATAATGAGGGTTTCTAGTGTCACAGTCACTGCTGATTCAATTATGGGGTTAGGGTAAAGATCCTCCCCTTCCAAGATCTGCTAAGGGCTCATTAAGCTCCCTGTAATGGCTGTTTATCCTGTTCTTGTTTGATGAGCCTTTCTGTTATTCCACCACCATCCCCTGTTCAGAGCAGAATTTCCAATCGCTTCTTGCAGAAGTGGATCCCTGTCTCTTTGATACAGCTTCTCTGCTTTTCAGAACTGACATTTCCTACTCAACTGATAAAGCAATAAGGCTCTGTGTATTTTATGCTTAATCAGCTGGTCTGCAGCAATGGTGTTTGTACCATCCGGCGTTCAGGATAATTTGGAGTATGCTGCACTTCAACAGCTACTGATCGTATGAGCCGAGCGACGTGCATGGTGTTCCGGAAGGTTCGACACAGAAAGGATTCTGCATCTGCAGGCACATTCCATGCAGGTTTACCTAACTCAGTCTGCTGAAGCCAAGCAGACAGAAGACATCTACAGAGTAAAATGTAATCAGTGATTCAGCACTCCAGAAAGAGCCAGATGTCATACACGGCAAATGATGGGCACATCACTACAGCAATGCTGTCAGAGAGGCTGGAGCCTGCATTGCCTCAATTCCCGATATATTAGATGTAGCCCAGCAAAGTCATAAAATGTTACTGTGGAATTTAAAAAAAAGGGAAAGGTATCATTTCAATGACATGTATTTTAGCGCCATTATTGCCTCAAACCCAAGGTCAATGATAATACGCTAAAGTGCCAAGCAAGCCAACCTCCAAAACTCAGGTTCAGGAATAAATACAGTATGTGCATCATTACAGCTAGAGAGTGAAAACCCTGGTAAGAGCACAGCCTCTCTGGGGGGAGACACGAAGCCGGTCCGCAGACGCATGCAGGGGCACCTCTGTATACTGGGAGCTGGCTGAAGTCGTCGAGGTTTCTTACATTGTCTTCTCTGAGTTTCTCGATGGTGATCTTTGCTTCCATGAGGTGATTGTTGAGGACGATAATCTCCCGACTCAGAGCTCTCTTCTCCTCTTCATGGTGCTTAGACTGAAACAAACATGGCAGAGAGGGAAGAGTCACAGTTTAAAAAAAAAATGTTCCAGACAGAATCATTGATCAAACCAGTAAGAAATAAACTACTAGGGCTAAGAAACAGGAGGGTTTATTTTCCCCAAGAATATTTATATAAATACTTGTAAATGGTCCAGTGGGAGCCAAGAAATGAACAGGTTATACATTCAATTTAATCTCAACAATTTCACAAGGGAAAGAAACTACTAACTACTGAGTCCAAGTGCTGAGTAACCTGCTGAAAGTTCCTCTATGCTGAGTAACCTGCTGAAAGTTCCTCTATGCTGAGTAACCTGCTGAAAGTTCCTCTATGCTGAATAACCTGCTGAAAGTTCCTCTATGCTGAATAACCTGCTGAAAGTTCCTCTATGCTGAATAACCTGCTGAAAGTTCCTCTAAAGGACACAGAGTGGTTCTGGCAGAATATTCGCCTTTTTACAGTCAGATCTATACATTCACAAAGGAAATGGCTATTGTCCTGTCATTTGGGGATTATGGCTAAGACTCTGGTTACTTTCATAAACACAACTGTAACCAATAACTTGACTCCTTCCCATTCACCATATTTCGCGCTTGCTGCCTCCGATGCACCGTAACAGCATCCCGCAAGGGTGGAGGTGTAATGTGCTTCAAACCACATTTCCATCAGACTACCCCCAATCAATGAAATGGAGACAATTTTTTTTTTGGGATTCTTAGTTTTTTTTTGTAGAGGGAATTTAAAACCCGCACTTAACTGCCAGCAAAGTCATCGTAAGCCATCCCACTGTTATAATGGACAGTCGTTAAATGCTTCCAGCCTGGGATTTTAACTGCAGAGCTCTGGCTATTACAGACGAACCAGCAATGGTCCACCAAGGGATTAAAATAAGGTGGTGAGCTCTGTAAGCAGCCCACCCCTGTCTGTGGTCAGCGTGTCTGGTGCTTATCATTCAGATTTATCACCCCTGCACACAGCAGCAGCCTGAGACATTGCACCTGAAGACAGTGGCCAAAAAGGGGCTTTAATAGCAACAGAGCAGATGACCCCGCCAGCGTTAGCCATATGGTCCCCGATACACAACAGACTCCAACAGTAAGGAGGGGAGAGCCGTGAAATGTCAGGACCCGCCACCTGCCGGACGCACCGATGGTGCCGCGCGTGACCACGGGTCGTAACGGTGTCGCCCGGCAGTGGCCCTCGTTCCTGTGAACGGAAGAAGCCGCAGAGATCCCCTCCATACCGTCGCTTGTTTATGAAAGTCATTTGCAAAAATGCACTGAGGGAGAAGCCCTGCTGTAAACGTGAAAACAATATATCCATCATCCGAAATGGCCCTGTCAGGGCAGGACTTGGAGAATTATTGTTTTAATATAAACATCCAGCAGCATTTTCTTTCCCCACGAAGCCTTTTAATGCTCAAGCAGCCTAAAGAGTTTTCAAGACTCTTCTGCACATTATTGCTCCAGTTTGTCATTTTCTGTTTGGTTCGAGTGCAGTTTAACTAACATAAGCCCAGGACTTTGGTTTCGTGTAAGTCACACGTGCGTCTTTCGTCACAGCCTCCTGACTCCTCCTTTGCATCACTAATTAGAGGCCGACCACCATCCTCTGAACTCTGCATCCTATTTACTAAATGCAAGAAACCACCATGACCAATACAAGGAGATTACTGGATAAAATTCCTGATTAACTGCAGGCAACATTATTTCAAAATTTATGGAACATAAAAAACACAGTGTTTACAGAAAGTCTTGGAACGCTTGCTTAATTCAATAAATATGTTTCAAATTTATTTGTGTTTTATGTTATTTTTATAACAAAAAATCAGTAAAACTTTACTTGAGGGTACCCAAGTACTTAGTAGTAACTCAGTTATTTATGAAGAACAAATCAGGAACAAATATGGTCACTACTTAAGATGAAAGATGTGTCATGATTCATTAATGATGAACAAACGTGAGACTTGTGTTATTCATTACTTGTTCCTTCAGTATTTCCTTCAGTAGTTCACTAAGATTTGCAGAATTAACAGATATAGTAACAAATATAGTAACTACTTGGGATAAAAGTTGTATGATGATTCATTAATGATGAACAAACATGACATCAGTTTGTAACTAACAATTAGCTTTTGGTTAATTATTACATAAGTAACAGTATATTACTACATTATTTATGTTCCCTAAAGTGTGACCCAAAAATCATTACTTTATTAATTTATTTACAAAAAATAACACTATATCACATTAGAAACAACCAGTAGTTTTAAGTTAAACATAAATTTCAAATAATAAACTGAAACTCAAATTTAACTTAATGAGTCAGTCAAAGATACTTAATAAAATTTAAGAATTGTGATTCTTAATAAAAAGAAAATATGTGTGTAACAGATGTGCACAGATATGTTGAATGTTGCTTGTCAATGGACTTTTGATATGAATCCAATAAATTTGCAACATTTTTACAGAATTAAGCAAGACTTTCTGCGAGCACAGTATATACAAAAACACAATATTTCAATTATACAAATCAGGACAGTCATTTTTCGAGCAAGCCAAACAGGAGAAAATGGGGAGATAAACGCAATGGAGGAAGGCTTTCAGGTCTAACGGTGAGGAAAAAAATGCCAACTAGGCAGCTTCTCAAGGTTATTCGGATTTACCGAAAATATAAGTAAAAAAAAAATGCAGACCATTCAGCTGGCACTTGCCAGCAGCAATAAAACTCCAGCACAACCCAAGCGGAGAGATATTGTTGGGGTATTCGGTGAGCAGTGCACACTGTCTGCCTGGGAACAGCCGCAGCTGGATGGATTACAACCCTTTCTGAAGAGAGGAGGGGACAAACAATCAGGGCCCGGAGTGGCCATTTTCATGATAATGTGACATCAGCAAAGTCCTGTGGGGGCAGACATATTACAGCTGTGATTAACAAATGCCTTTCCGAGATGGCTGCCTTGCTTCATTATCGGGTTAATGCTCAAAGTCGCTGGATTGACTGGAATCAGCACATCAAGGAGTTCATTTCAATCAAAAGCTCCAACACTCCTTATGTACGATACATAACGAACTAAGAAAAGTTTTCGGTGATTCGGCTGATTGAATACATGTGTAATTTTCATCAAGCACTAATTTCAAGGGGGTTATTGAGGCATGAGAATGCAGTCCTTTACAAAAACCATCTTGCCATTAGGAGAACGAGAGGCAGTCTCCATTGGCAACGAACACATCTCAATCCCTTAGAGATACTCCCAGCGCACAACTAATTGTAAGTGGGGAGTGAGGACACAACATCGTCATCTGTAGAAAAACAGATGAAGCAGAAAAATACTGCCCGGACATTTTAATAGATCAATAAGTTAATGAGACGTTACTATGAAATGCACAGATAACTTTTTTACTTTAATTAAAGATTAAAAGACAAATGACTCATCGTAAAGTTTCATTCATTAAAAATAAACCATTTCTCTCTGAGTGAAAGCTAATCAAAGGGTGTTATCAGTGTTACAGAATGCTAATCTTAAACGTAGTTCCTCAGAAACCTATACTTAAAATAAGGCAACACTACAAAGTAATGTTGGACGGAATACCGGTTCATACCGAAAACCGTTTTTTTATTATTGTTATGATATTAATTTTTTTATACTGCAATACCGGTTTAAATAGCCTACACAACGTTTGGAAAGTAGTGCAGCTGGAAACTGTTTAAGGGGGGGTCCTTTTTCACTGCTGCACTGCTAAAAATGTACCGTGAAAGATGCGAAACAGAAGATATAGCTGACGCTGGAGTAATGAGATACTGGGGTTGTCAAAAAATCGATTCTCAGATAGTAATCGATATTAAAAATTAGGATGAGATTAGATACTCATTTTCACCATTATTGATAGCAACAGTGTGGTTTTCGCCTCATTCACCACACTTCACACAGCACCACTACAGCGAATGTGCAGACACACACACACACACACACTCGCACAGCCCCTCTCCTCCTCTCAGTAACCACGGAACGCATTAGTGCTGGTTAACACTCACATACCGAGTTGGCCGAACATGGCATATGCTGCAGTTGAAGGCACCTTGCAAGCTGCTTTAGTAAAAAAAGTGCCGTTTGGGAGTATTTTGCAGACAAGCATAGAAAGGCTAAGGATGTTGATAAGCCTCTATGCTAACAGTGCTACAAAGTTGTGACAACGAAGTCAAGTAGCACGTTAAACTTGGAAAAGCATCTTAAAGGCCGACATCCCAGTCTTTATGAGAAATTTCGTGAGGTCAGTAAAGCTCGCGTTCCAGCAATGTTCACTTGTTAACTTGGCACACCTTAACATTAGCCGTGTATCCACAGTATAAGCAGTTAGCCAACAAACACGTTAGCCGTATGTTATCATGAAGGCAGTGGAGAGGCGCAATGGCTAATAATAATGTAGTATAGTTAATGTGGGAACAATGCAAAAATGTAAAACAAAAATGTTTCCTGGAAAATCCTGTAAAATGTGGTACACACCCAGTCATACTTAAAAAAAAAAAAAAAAAAAAAAAAAACGTTGTATACTATGAACCCATATAACTTTGAAAAACACCATGATTTTTGGTCATACCGCCCAGCTCTACTACAAAGTTTGAAGATCTGAGTCTCTGTTCCAGAGATACTTTGGTCGTTTCTCCATCAGCCTTTGTGTTACACCATTGAAGCGCCTATTTATGGTTCTGGAGACATACATGTAAACACCGGAATCAAAACAGCATGTTTCCTGCAAGCCAGGTGCTACTCAGTCTTATAACAGGTAATGAGAGTACACTTTGTTGTGTCCCAAGCATATCAAACCATCTCTCCCACCGCACAGGTATTTTCACCTGAAGGGCTTTGGAGAACAAAGCATGATGATTACTACAACACCACCACCACAAACTGAGGAATTTTGCTCTCTCTCTCTCTCTCTGTCTCTGGTATACTTTGCACTTTTCCTCTAAAACCCCTGACTAATGAGAGCATGGC